TGTTGGGTCATGTCCGGGCAGGGGCTGTTGCCGGACCTCCATAACCAAAGGTACATTTGTTGCAGTTAAACTGTCTGACATGCATAGTTATTGGGGCCGAGAGAGCAAACTTTTCCGGTGCAGTTTAGTCTTCGTAGGAATGATAGGTTATTCTCATAAATTTAATTTTAGTTTATCTCATCTTGATGATTCAACAACATTCCTAAACAATAATAAAGAGTTTATGAGTATGCCATTACTGTTGGACTGGGGGATTGCTGGCTACCTGAATTGCACAGAAGCTGCTCAGAATTCCACTAATTATGCATGTCAAAAGAACAGTTATTGCATTAATTTGTACAACGATTTTAGAGGAGTATATCAATGCAGGTGCAAGAAAGGATACGAGGGCAATCCTTACGTAGGATGCCGAGGTCAGTTTTTTTTTCCTCAAAATTAATATTCGTACTTAATTGAAATCTTGACTATTTTATAGACGACTTCAGTACGAAAAATCTAACAATTGTTTGTTGTGATGCTTAAATGGGATGGGGTGCGGCAGATATCAACGAATGCATGAATAATCCATGCATCCCATATGGAACCTGCACCAACACTCCCGGTTCTTATCGGTGTTCCTGTCCTTCCGGTTATCGTGGTGATGGTAAAAGAAATGGTTCTGGTTGTATTCCAATATCGGTACCCCATGGTAAACTCGCAATAGGTAATTTTTAAATAATCTTTTGCATATTAAATAACTGGTCAAATTTATCTTTCTCAATATTTTCTGCTATAAGTTAAAAATAAATTTTAAATAAAATTAGAAGTCCTCTAATCAAGACAATAAATATTATACAATTGCTTGTGCAAGTTAATTTTTTTTTTTTTTTAACTTAAATATAGTACAATTGCTAATTTTTTTTTCCTTATAATCAATGTTTAAATTAATTTAATCATTTACTATTTTAGAAATTGTCGTCAATGAAATATTAAAATATTTAAAATAGGTTAGGAAACACAATATGATGAATAGCAATTCACATTGACAAAAGTTATCTATCCTCAAAATTTAAGCGTTAGTATTCTTGATATTATTGAATTGTACTAGTCTCAGTATCAAATAAATAAACAAACCAAAAAGATCAAGATTCCAAATTAGAAAATTATACATGATTGAATCCAAAATAGATGTGATGATCTTGAATTGAGTTACGTTGCATATGTTAATACTTTCAGGAGTAGGCTTGAGTGCAGGAATGGGATTGCTAGTGCTGTTGTCAACTTGCTTTTGGTTGTACAAGTTTCAGAAGAAGAGAAGAAGTAAAAATCGCAAAGAAAAATTCTACAAACGAAATGGTGGTCTTCTGCTGCAACAAATATCAACGGACGAAGGAATACTTCAAAAAACCCGACTTTTCAGTGTTAAAGAGTTAGAGAAAGCTACTGATCATTTCAGTGAAAGTCGAATACTTGGTGAAGGAGGTCAAGGGATGGTTTATAAAGGAATGTTATCTGATGGAAAAATTGTGGCAATAAAAAAATCAAAGGTAGTAGATGAAAATCAAGTGGAGCAATTCATTAATGAGATTGCCATGCTTTCACAAGTTATTCATAGGAATGTAGTTAAACTATTAGGTTGTTGCCTAGAAACTGAAGTTCCTTTACTAGTTTATGAATTCATTTGCAATGGAACCCTTTACGATCATATTCGCGACAACAATGATGAGTTCCCATTGTCATGGAACATGCGCTTGAAAATTGGTGTAGAAGTCTCAGAAGCACTTGCCTATCTTCATTCTGCAACTTCTATCCCCATCTATCACAGAGATATTAAGTCAACTAACATTCTACTTGATGAAAAATATGTAGCTAGAGTTTCAGACTTTGGAACTTCAAGATCAATCGCAGTGGATCATACTCATCTAACTACACTAGTAAAAGGAACCTTCGGATACTTAGACCCAGAATACTTTCAATTAAGTCAATTTACAGAAAAAAGTGATGTCTACAGTTTTGGAGTTGTTCTTGTTGAGCTCTTGACTGGACAACGACCAATATCTTTAGCCAAAACGGAAGAGGAAAGAAGTTTAGCAACAAGATTTTTGTTATGTATGGAAGCACACAATCTCAAAACTATTCTTGACAGCCAAGTTTTAGAGCAGGGTAAGAGAGAAGAACTAATTGCTGTGGCAAAACTTGCACAAAGGTGCTTAAATTTGAATGGGATGAAAATGCCATTGATGAAAGAAGTAGCCATGGAGTTGGAGATTATTAAAATATCTCAAACGCATTCGACTACATCTGATACTAAATATCAAGAACTTCTGTTGCCCAAATCCAAAGCAATATTGGTGTCGGATGATGACTACACATGGACAAGTACCTCTGGTAATATCATCCCATCATCAGAAGTACAACCCCTAATGATTCACACTGCTTGATGCATTCTCTGATTTCTAAACAATTTCCTCATTTGTTGTATAATATATGCTTTTGTAATAGTCTATTTAAACACCTTAATAGCATTTGGTCAAGATTTTTTTGATATAAATAAAGGGATCAGACTTTTTCAGCATGAGATTTTTACCTCTTATTGATTTATCTTAACTGATTCTTTGTATCTATCGTTCAAATTATGACCTATACAGACATACGTTAGCTTACTATATTGAATTTACCTCCAATGGAATCTCAAACTGTATTATGCTGCAATTTGGTTTAACACTACAAATGGACTGCATACAATCAACATATTATTTTGTGCTCTCTCCCTAAAGACAACAGAGATTTCTTCAGTATAAATATCTAATTTGGCTTCATTACTTGTGTGTATTATTAACCTTGAACATGTATTTCATGAAGTTATACCGTTCCTTTGATTTATTAAAAGAAAAGAAAAATTGAAGCAAAGCACTTTTTCTTCGGAGGACAGAATATTCATTACACAACCTTTATGTTAATTGGTTCTTCTGCAGATGAAAGTAAATTGGAAAATGAAAATGCTTAGCCAGTTCGCCTTTCTCATGAAATTTCGAGATTTTAAATTGTTCGAAGACACTATTTTTAAAAATTGAGAGATCAAATCAAGGATAAATGGCAGAAATTGAGCTTGAATAGTTTGTCTGTTCAGCTATAGACCAACGAGGTCATTGTCAACTTAAAAAATGATGTTAACGATCGAAATTTATCAAATTTAGCCCTTGTTTGAGTTCCATTTAACCAAAAATACATTTTTCAAATCTCATTTTCAACCATACAATGTTCTACAAAAATAATATTACTCGTAAATCCAAAACTTTTTCTTATTATAAAAAGAGAAGATAGAGGCCCTGTTTGGTAGCGATTGTTGCTGCCCAGAAAATGCATTTTTTGACTGTTGGATAAGGTAGTGGGACCTGGGCTGCAGTTCTTCAATTAATATGTCAGAAATGTAGGCGCAATTTTGGACCATTTTCTCGGCAGAATGACATTTTTGCCCTTAACAGTCAAAAATTTTGTTATGATAGATGGGCATTTTCGGTATTTCACTTTTTACTTGCCCTTAACTGCTGCCACAATGGGACCCACGTACTGTAGCTTATGGGCAAAATTCTCATTTTAATTCTGGAAGAATCACTCCCAGACAGCTGCAGAATAAAAGTCAATAGACTTTTTTTGTGAGTTTTATTAAGAACCAAAACCGTATAATTATACGTAAGAATTAGGGATACAACGAGAATAATTTTTAGAACTGCAGGATTGCAATTGTCATTCATTAATTACTATTTACAACACTTTCCCTTGAATAACACATTACGACATATTTGCTTCGTTAAAACCTTCTTTGATAAAAATTCAATGGGACAAAAAAATCAAACGAAGAAAGAAGAATACAATTATTTTGGAATATTAAAAATAAATGTTGTTTCGTTAAAACTTTGTCATGAAAATTCAGTGAGACAAAACTTGATCGAATGAAAAAGAGTGCAGCTACTCCCCCGATTTCAATAAGTAAAATTTCTTATATTAAGCTATCCATGTCTCGTACATCAATTCTCTGATATCAAAATTTCTTGTGAACTATATCTTATGTTGTCTTGCATAGTCTTCAAATAACACAGTCTTTATAAGATATATTTTTATAAATCTTTGAAAATTGTAGTAACTTGATGATTCAGAAATAGCTCTTGTTGATCACTTCGAGAGTCTTATACATATAAGGTATTATTTTGGGGGTAAATGTCTTGCATGTTATAGATATTCATTACACGAAAAATATGCTTCATTAAAACCTTATTAGAAAAAACTCCGTGAGAAAAATCCTAACAAAGGAAAAAGAGCACATTGTTCTTTTGAATATGCTACAAAAATCTCCTTATTAAAAATCTTGTTAGGAAAATCCAATGGGATAAATTCTTGGTCAAGGAATAAGAGTACAATGCATATTTGCTCTTCCCCATACAATATCACTTGAATTATACTTTAGGTATATTAAATCCTTCAAGAATGGTATCAAAACTATGCAAGATAAATTGTTTATAATCACATTTATTACATGCCCACGCTGATGAAATAGAAACTTGTAATTACATCCACCACATGATAACCGAGTTTATACAAGTCTTCATGACATTTATGATGTAAAGAGTCATATATTTCGTATTACGACCTTACCTTTTTTTTTGGCCTATTTTCATTTTGTTTAAGTATACACATTTTGGTGTTCAAACTGTAGAGCTTTCTCTAATAAATTCAATTTAGGATTGCGTCATTTTTATGTAGCCAATTATTACTTTGGTTGATATATTTTGACACGTTTATTTTGATTCCTCGCTATATGATGCAATACATCATGTGCAAAATTGTTGTCGACAATTATTTATTTTCCTATAATAGTATAACTTATTAAGATATCACAAGTTTCATTATTTTAGACACTTGAAACTCTTTTAAGGTTTTACAATTTGTTATGTCTAAATACTCATCAAAAGCATATACCTCCTTAATGGGACCATCTTCGTAAATTGCTCCTTTTCATTTGGAGTTTTTTAATACTAGAATCGTATATCACGCTTCAGGAATACCATAGATATATATAAAATATAATGCTATGAAATTGTTCTTCTATGACATCAATTCATATTGGAGCATTTAAAATTGTTGCATGAAATATTGTTAATCTCTTTGGTTAGTAAATGCATCTAAATAAATTATCTTTCGAACTTTTAGATCGAGTGATCTTTTGCAAAGATTAGATAATGATGCATTTGTACATTATTTTCAGTTTCTTAATTCCCTCCCCCAATGCTGAGAGAATTATCCAATTAAATTGATAATCATTTTTTCAGCATTATGAAATATCACTCATTTGGGATAAGCGCTCAAACTATGCATTTATTCTCAACATTCTTTATTTTTTATCTCAGTGCATCGTAGTTGTTCAATTTTACATTTGCTATACTATCAACATAATTAGATGAAAAAATTAGGTTCTGATCATAGACAAATTATAATAGGGAGAACTATAATGTTGGTATGATGTGTAATAGAATTTCTTAAACAAAAATGGGAAGTATTTTGTTCTCAATTAAATTAATTGGAGGCGTTTAACAAATAGCAGTGTTAAACCATTTATCGATATCCCAACAAATACTTATTAAAATGTTGAGATTTATGCCCACTAGCATTGACGAAACATGGTCTTGATTATAATTATTATCATAATTTAAAATTTAAGCAGTAATTTCACAAACTTCAAGTTGCAAGCACCATGTAATCATATAGTATATGTATCAAATCTATTAGATACAAATAATATTTAGATGATCAATGTGGTAGGTGACGGGACTCCATATATCACCTTAATTAATTTTCAAAAATGTAGAGAATTCAATCCTTATTTTAACTGGTGATGTTTAATGATTAATCGTCGATAAAGAGAACAAATGATGTAGAGGAATTCATTAGATTGAAGAATCTTCTGGTTCTTCATTAAATATCCATGTTGAATTTTTTATTTTGCGTCATTATTGATCCAGTGATGGTCCAACTGGTCATGCTAAACAATAAGAACAAGTTGAACTTTTGGTTCAATATAAGATATAATTCAATAATTTAATTTCGAAGAATATGATCAAATATTATATGCTTGTATAATATTCAATCAAGTAGATAAACTAATCAACGTCAACATGACATGAGTTATATATTTTTCTTCAGGAATAAATACGAATTCAAAATGATATATTCATCGAAGCATGTACTATTTTGAGAGCACATTATATTTTACTATTACTTATTCAAAAGTAATATATCAATATTCTTCTGGAATATTAAAAATTATAATTTATCCTCTTCAGAAACCATCAAATATTATTATAATTTACAAATTGTAATACACGCTCTTCAGGAGCAATCAAATATTATTATAATAAATTATACAAGAATTTAATCTTCACGGGTAAAAATATAATATACATTAGATAGTATTTAAATATACTTTTCGAAAGCAAGCAAAATCTAACTAAAATATCAATATATAAATACGTTTACAGAAGAATGAACACGTATAGAATAAGAGTAATTTAATTCGTGTTTTTACCTAGAAATTGATCGACATTCTTCTAAAATATTGAAATCATAATATCATGATCTTTTGAAGCAATCAATATTCTTCTGAAATATTAATAATAGATTGAAATCGTAATATTATGCTCTTCTGAAACAATTAATATTCGTACAAAATATTAATAATATTGTGCTACTTCAGAAATAATAAAGAACTATTATTTAAAAACACAAAGTTTTCACGAGCATGTTTTCTAGTAGAATGTGAATATTTACGGAGTTGTGCTTCTCCATGAGCAACAACATATTATATTGTCAATTTAAAAATTATAAAAGAAAATTTTGAATATTTAATCAGGTTGAGGACATAAAGAATATTCAATAATCATCATAAACGTATAATTCATGTTACTGTATATGATTAATACAAACATCGGGACCATTCCTAAAAAAATTGACACACTTATTTGAATTAATATAAATTTATATATAAAAATCAGTTACCAAACTTGAATTAGGAAAAAAAATCTTGAAAAGATATGCTCTAAAGTTAAGATATGCTCTACAGTTATTCTTTACCATATAGTATATTATTATTTACCATTATTCGTACCCAATTGTCATAGATTATAACCATAAGAAAAATTGGAGTAGTAAGCACAGTACTAAAATTCATTAATCTAAATAATTAGAAGTAAGATTTAATAACCTAGGCTGATTGGTGTTCATTATAATGTAAAATTCAAATAATACGTTTTTTTTTTCTTTTTTTGCAAACTTATAACTATCCTATTTTGCAAAGAATTTCATTGGGTAGTTGGCACAAAACGTTTATACCTTTCAAGCTTATTGTGGAAAATGTCCCAACCTTTCTTTTTTGGCATTTTCGCCCCTATCTTTTACATTTCTTTGCATAGAAGGTCATTTTCATTAATTTTTGACAATTTTACCCTCCATTCAAATAAAACAAAAAGAAAAGAAAAGAAAAAAAAATAAAGAACTAATTGCAAT